TGTCGATAACAGGTACTCACGGACAGCAAGATCGTCTTATTATGGCCGAGAGCGCAGATCCTCGTCGAAACCGACTATAATACATACATAATGTTCGCTGAAAGTTCTTGAGGCCACGCCAGCAACCAAGCGATCTGGCATTACGCCATTTATACGGGCCAACCGAGTTTTTGAGCGCTAGATGCCGCAGCTGGAATCATCTTCCATATCCGTGATCGGGCGTACTGCTCCCTTGCAGGCCGGGAAGTCCCCCGGGCATGCCAGGAAAGTTTGGCGGCGGGAAGTTCTGGGGCAGCGATATTCCTTGAGAAAGAAGCTGCTTCTGCAATTCCGCCAGGTCAACGTTCACCGGGGGTGTCCCCGACATAGCAGGGTGCATGGGAAACCCTGGCAATCCAGTCGTAGGAGGGAAATTGTGCGGCTGAGGGGGCGGTTGGCTCGACAAAAGAGCTGCTAAACGCCCAGGGTCCATCTGTGGCATAGAATTGGAAAACCCCGGCTGGGGTGGGGGCTGGGGAGCCCCAATCCCTGGCAGTATCGAACCCATCCCGTCTGGCTGTGGTGCGGCGCCAGGTGGTGCGAATTGAATTCCAGGAAGAGACGACATACCGGCCGGCTTCTTTTGGTCGACCAAGCTCTCCGCCTCATCCTGAAGTTCCTGTTCTTCCTCTTCACGCATCTGCCGCCGTCCGAAGCCCCGGCTCCATGTACCTTGAGCTTCCGCCGCTTCTTCTCCGATATGGAACCTATCCTTCATGTAACTAGTCTCCCCGGGTCTGGCACGGGACCAGAACCGTGTGAAGTTATCTTTTGACCCGGATGCAAGAATGTGACCGAGAGGATGCCAATCAAGGGACCAGATGGTGGCACCATGCGCGTATTGTACCTTGTGGGCAGGGTATATCACCTGCGCCGGCGTGTTGGCCGGGTCGTTGCTGTCATATGGCGCAATTGTAGGGATTTGCCCGGAGGGCAAATTTGGTTCATCAAGTAAATAGTGATATAGAGAGCCATCCTCACTACCAGTAGATATGAGAGAGCTGTGGATTGGGTGCCATGTTAGAGAGGAGACGGGCTTCTCATGGCCTCGGAGGATACAAATATCTCGCATCATGCGCAAGTCGAAGACTCTCGCCGTTTGATCCCGAGATGATGTGGCTAGAAGGTTATTGTTTACGCGGGAGAACCTCGTCGCTGTGACGGTATTCTTGTGGCTATGAAGCGTTGTTAAGCATCTTGCTGTGCGCGGATCCCAGAACTTGACTTGGTGGTCTTTGGACCCAGACACGAGCAGACCTTTGGTGGGATGCCAGTCGCAGGATTTGACATCCCAATTGTGACCGGTAAGAACGGTATCGCAAGTTCTCGCAGTGAAATCGAAAATCTTCAGTGTTGTGTCGTCGGATGCGGAGAGGAATTTAGTATCACTGGGTGACCAAGCTAAATCGCGAACAGCATCGTGATGTGCGTCATCGATCGTCTCGACGTTGTTAAAGTTAGGTCGCCAATACTTCACGTCACCCTTCTGTCCTCCGGAAATCAGCCAGTCATGACTGTGAGACCAAGCTAAGGAGGTGACTCCAGCTTGCAGCTGGTCGTAATGTGCCTATTCAACCATCAGCAACAAATCGTCGGCCAGCAGATAATCGCAACCAAGCAATACGCACATCCATGACTGTTTCGAAGTTGAAGGCAGTTCCATTCCAGAGCATGAATTCGCCCGTATGGCCTCCCGTCAGCAGGCGCCTTCCTTCCGGTGTCCATCGTACGACAGTGATCGGTTTCTTCGATTTTCCGATTGACTGATGTAAATGCCGCACCGGGATTGTGTCCGCTGGAGAATGAACTCGGGCAAGAGGTGGGAGCATCTAACAAAGAGAATTCCGCTCGTGTCAGTTGAGGAGTTGTATCAGAATGTGCGCGGACGTCTGTCGCACTTACATCCACAACATAGCTTGCACTAGGCCTTTCCACCTCAATCTGATGACCACCCTTATAGCGAGGCTTCCGTGTGCGTATCCATTGTACCATAGATGATCCATAGTCCGTCACGAGTCCTACAATTGACGGTTAACTTCGCCAAACGAAAAACGAAGGTAGAGGGGTAAACAAATGTGAACGCATCGGGACAAAGGATCGTATAACACGTACTCGGTCGTCGCGGCCCAGCAATTCCCCCTTCGTAGGATTTCGGAGGCCTCCCAAATGGCTGGGCATCATTCCCAGGGTCGTCGTAAAAAGCCATTGCGACAAAGCGCACTGCCGAACGCAGGTAGTAGGTTTACAAGGAAGAAAGAAAGGATGACGGAGGAAGCGGAGAGACAGTCGCTAGCATGACAGTGACAGGGGAGGCAAACGGGAGGAAGCAATGACAGCTAGCCGATGCTCAACCTGGTGGTAAGATCCCCAGCTAGAGCCAATCGACCATGTCGTGCATGCAGCAGGAGCAGGAGCAGCGCTTGGTTTGATTGTCGCTTTGGTGATGGCGTTGGGTGTCGGAGCGTCGAATGAAGAGCAACCGCCCTTGGCTGCGCGACCGTCATTGGCCGCGACAAAGCCAGCCGCTGCGCTGCCATGAATTTTAGGCCCGCAACGGCCTGGATCGGCCTGAGGCCAGGCCTTTGCGACGCCGCAATTATGCGTTCTTCCCCTGCAACCCCCGCTGCTGTTCCCTGTGGCCATTATTAGTATTTAAAAACTACCCTATCCCTCCTTTCCCCCTCCTCGCCTCTGAAACTTGTCCAGTGTTCTGTCATGTCCATCGTGGACAGCACACCCTGGTGGGATTCTGTGTCCTACGTTCTAAGCTATTTCCCGCAATTGGTTTGAACCGAGGCCAGACAAGCTGCTAAACTACAAATCTCCCTATACTTCGGGCTTGTGATACCACTCCACTGTCAAAAGTGGCTCGTTTCCCACAACAAAATCAACATGTCTCCTACACAAGAGGCCTCACAGAGCCCTAGTACTGCTGTCAGTACTGGGACTGACATACACACATCCCCGCAAAAGCCCATGAACGGGAAAGCTTCCAACGGTCATCCTCCCCAAGGGACGAATGGCGCCACCAAGACCAACTGGAGAAGGAGAAGCAAATATCGTCATGTGGAAGCTTATCATTCGAAAATTCGGCATTCCAGTCTCAGTCGCGAACCCAACGTCACGGCGAGTTTCCTGGGCTTCCGAAATCTTATGGTCATAGTGTTGGGTTGGTTTGCCCATCCTCCTTACCCGTGTGTCCGCTTCTGGCTAATGCTTTGTTTCCGGATCTAGTCGCAATGAACCTCCGACTCATCATTGAGAACTTCATGAAAGTAAGCCATAACTGCGGATCAACATTCATTCATGCAAGCCCCTAACTGACCTCTTCGGATAGTATGGTGTCTTAATCTGCATCAGATGCCACGATTATCGGAGGCAGGATGTTGTGCTCGGCTCCGCTCTCTTTGCGCTCGTCCCATTCCACCTCTACGTCTCCTATCTCATAGAGCTGGCTGCGGCAAGACAGGCTAAGAATATTGTTGGCCAGAAGAAGAAGGATGGATCGACCGAGGCAAACGAGAGCGAACAGCGCATCTTCAAAAACACATGGTGGATCTCCGCCTTCTTCCACTGCGTGAACACCCTTCTGAGTTTGGGGATTACGAGCTTTGTCGTGTATTTCTATGTTCATCACCCAGGTATTGGCACCCTTTGTGAGCTTCAAGCTCTTATTGTGTCGTTCAAGATTTGTTCGTATGCCTTCACCAATCGCGACCTCCGCGAGGCCATGCTTAATCCTTCTGTCGAATCCGCCCTCCCGGAAATATATTCGGCTTGTCCATACCCCAACAATATCACCCTGGGGAACCTGGTCTACTTTTGGTTGGCGCCTACGCTAGTTTATCAGCCAGTATACCCCAGGTCGTCACACATCCGGTGGTCGTTCGTGGCCAAGCGCCTGTCTGAATTCTTCTGCCTAGCCGTATTCATCTGGCTTCTATCTGCTCAGTATGCGGCTCCCGTCTTGCGCAATTCGATCGACAAGATTGCCGTCATGGACATCGCATCTATACTGGAGCGCGTGATGAAACTGTCCACGATCTCTCTTATCATCTGGCTGGCTGGGTTCTTTGCGCTCTTCCAGTCACTGCTGAATGCTTTGGCCGAGGTGATGCGGTTCGGAGACCGTGAGTTCTACACTGATTGGTGGAATAGCTCCAGTCTTGGGGTGTATTGGCGGTCATGGAACAGGCCTGTATACCTCTTCATGAAGCGACATGTCTACTCGCCGCTTGTTGGTCGTGGGTGGCATCCTCTTGCGGCGAGCACGGTTGTCTTCGCTCTCTCTGCTGTCCTGCATGAGGTTCTTGTGGGTATTCCCACGCATAATTTTATCGGTATGAACTATTCTCCCGCTTTGTTTCCGGCCCAAACTAACCAAGCCAGGTGTGGCATTTGCGGGCATGATGTTTCAACTGCCGCTGATCATTATCACCGCCCCATTGGAGAAGATCCAAGACCCTACTGGGAAGGTGATAGGCAATTCCATTTTCTGGGTTAGTTTCTGTCTTGTCGGCCAGCCTTTGGGAGCATTGCTGTACTTCTTTGCCTGGCAAGCGAAGTATGGTAGTGTGAGTCGAATGTAAACGTAGTGGTACTTGTCCGCTGTTTGCCATAGATGTAAATAAATGCCATCAACTTTAGCCTTTTTTTGTCTCTCTCTCTCTTCGAAAAGCAAAGCAAACAAAGTAAATGATTCTGTACCATCGGCGCTCCTCACAACAGAACCTTCTAGGTGTTTCTGTTTCATTCATCTTGCTTACTGTAGTGCCCATCCTAGGACGTGTTCACGGTTGACTAATTCTCCGGGTGTGAATGGCAACGCTGTCGGAGTCGGGTCTTCAGGGATCCGCCAAGGATGCTCTGGATCCGCATCCGGCCGCTCTTGCGCCCCATCAATCGCCGATTATATAAATTGAATCACTTTCGGCTTCTTCTAGACTTCCTAATACCGCCTAGTCATAGCAGATTCAAATTGAAAACACTACAAGTTAATATCCCACCATGCTTACTCTGACCGTCCCCGAAAACTACGGGTATGTGCCAATTCTACAATCCCTGCAAACAATGCCACTAGGTCCCATATAGTCTGATGCTAATCATCCTGCAGCTCTGTCATTGCCGTCGCTCTGGGCGCCATCCCCGTCCTGAGCTTCGTCCATGGCGCCGTCGTGTCTCGTCTTCGTAAGAACGCCGATTGCCCCTACCCTCACTGCTATGCGACCGTAGAGCAGTGCAAGACCAACGTAAGCCAACCTCAGACGGACAAGATTCCTCGAGCTAACATACATTCCCAATCGTGCAGCCCAAGGCTGAGCAGTTCAACTGCGCTCAGCGCGCTCATGCCAACTTCCTTGAGAACTCCAGCCAAACTATGCTCTTCATCCTGGTGGCTGGATTGAAGTACCCCCAGTTGGCAACTGGCCTTGGAAGCATTTGGGTTCTCGGTCGCTCACTGTTCCTTTACGGATACGTGTACTCCGGCAAGCCGCGGGGTCGCGGTCGGTTGTACGGCAGCTTCTACTTGCTTGCGCAGGGAGCTCTTTGGGGATTGACCTCTTTTGGAGTCGCGAGGGAGTTGATTTCCTACTTTTAAGTTTGGATTGACTTCGTGGGTGTGATTGGCGGTGTTGGCTATACCAGCTATATGTAATAACCTTTACTATTGTATATTACTACTCAACGCGTTTACTATGCGTACTGCTAGGGTCGGCAATGACAATGACAATGGCTTTCTGATTGACGTGGTCTATTTCCCCATGTGCAGCAGGGAATAATAATACGAGCTCCAATGAACCTCGGGTGTGGCACATTCAATGGAAAGGAACTCCGCCTTTGCAGGTGTGGCTGAACCCCACGGGTCGGAGGCGGAGCAATCCACCCCCGATGTGGCTGGTGCGTGGAGGGGCTCGCGATGATTTTACTGAGCTTCCTCTTTTTGCTCGACATTGATTGTTGTCATTTGTTTCACCTCATTATAAGGGCCAGTCGCTGCTAAATTATTCGGTAGCATTTGCGCATCTCTGGTTCTACCAATTAGGGCCTATCAGTCGAAACTCCAAGCTACTCTCATTGCACAAGCCTCTTTCATCCCCGCATTAACCCTTCCACCGACACCATGTCCTCCAAGTCGCAATTGACCTACACTGCCCGTGCCAGCAAGCACCCCAATGCTCTGGCCAAGCGGCTGTTCGAAATTGCTGAGGCCAAGAAGACCAATGTGACCGTCTCGGCCGACGTTACCACCACTAAGGAGCTACTAGATCTTGCTGACCGTAGGCCGACCCGCCATTCTGCCTGTTTATGCTGCATGCAAACTTATTAACGGTGATACCGGACTGCAGGTCTCGGTCCCTACATCGCCGTGATCAAAACCCACATCGATATCCTCTCTGACTTCAGCGACGAGACCATTGAGGGCCTCAAGGCTCTTGCGCAGAAGCACAACTTCCTCATCTTCGAGGACCGCAAATTCATTGACATCGGCAACACTGTCCAGAAGCAATACCACCGTGGTACCCTCCGCATCTCGGAATGGGCCCACATCATCAACTGCAGCATCCTACCTGGCGAGGGCATCGTCGAGGCTCTCGCTCAGACGGCGTCTGCACCGGACTTCGCCTACGGCCCCGAACGTGGTCTGTTGATCTTGGCGGAAATGACCTCTAAGGGTTCCTTGGCCACCGGCCAGTACACTACTTCTTCGGTTGATTATGCCCGGAAATACAAGAACTTCGTCATGGGATTTGTGTCGACCCGCTCGTTGGGTGAGGTGCAGTCGGAAGTCAGCTCTCCTTCGGATGAGGAGGACTTTGTAGTCTTCACGACTGGTGTGAACATTTCGTCCAAGGGAGATAAGCTCGGTCAGCAGTACCAGACGCCCGCATCGGCTATCGGTCGGGGTGCTGACTTCATTATCGCGGGTCGCGGTATCTACGCCGCGCCGGACCCGGTGCAGGCTGCGCAACAGTACCAGAAGGAAGGTTGGGAGGCGTACCTGGCCCGTGTCGGCGGAAACTAATACTATAAAAGGAGGAAAAAAGTTTTGATGGTTATGAATGATATAGAAATGCAACTTGCCGCAACGATACGCATACAAACTAATGTCGAGCACGGGTAGTCAGACTGCGGCATCGGATGTCAAAACGGTATTGATCCTGCAGGCTATTATAGGGTGGCACGGGATTAATGCGGTACGACGATTTGATGCAGATAAGCAGGCTGCGAAGTACTTGTTCCTGTAACTCTTGCGTAGAGCAAATGGCGACGGGTGGCTGATAAGGGCGGTGATAAGCTTAATTGTTGTCGCAGATAAGCAATGCTGATTCGGCTTCAACTGCATCCCAACCAGTCACTGCAATTGAAGTACGGTACTTCCGAGAATATATGGCGAAATCAAAGACTTTGCCCTCCGGAATTGCTTCCTCCCTGATCGATGCAAAAGTTACCTAGACAGTCACCCCAGCCCGAGGCCCCAGACGTCACATCCGGGCGTTGGACGCCATGTCCGTCGCGTGATAAGGGCCGATCCATGCAGCTCCTATCCTTCCATCGTTCCATTCCCATCCTTGTCCTATCGCCTCCCGTGAAACTTTACTAGTTTAGTTGGATGCTCGAGCTTGCTCTCGGCTACTTCATCCAATGGATAAGACCCCGATGCCGGTCCTCATTGGTCTCCAATTGGTGTCGCCCCAACCTTCTCGCGATCTCCTCCCAACTTCCCCTCATCATCATTACTAACTAATACACCCATGAGCCATCTCAGTGCTTCCCCTCATCCCTGACCAAGACACTCTAAGTGGGCCTTCGGCTGGGAGACGTGGACCCATTGGTTCCATCGATAAGCTCCTCGTCCGTTACCCCAGATTGATACCAGATAACATGACATTGACCAGCGGCTTATCACCGAGGTTGCGACTGAGACCCCCTGCGCCAAGTTGATAAAAGAAACTCGCCTCGTTGTGCTTCCGATGGGGTCGGATGACGAGTTTTCGGAATGAGCTGGCATCCCTTAAAAGGAGACAGCTGTCGCCAGATTGAAAATTCTCCGACGACTACTAACAACCTCTCCCCTCTTCCCCGCTGCCGCGGTCACCAAATTGACTCTCCTTTCTTGGCCAAGATCAAACATGGCGGATGAGAAGACTGAAAAGTCTCCCCCACCGATGACGGTGGATGAGGAGACTGGCACAACAGAGAAAATTGACCCGACAATTGCGGAGCACGCGAAGGATGCAGACGAGGCATTGGCGGTTTTCGAAGACCTCCATGGTGAAGTTATCACACTCGATGAGGAGACAAACAAAAGGATACTTCGGATAATTGATTGGCACATCATGCCAATCATGTGTCTTGTCTATGGAATGAATTTCTTAGACAGTTAGTGTATTCCGCGGTAGCCTCCCAAGGTTCATACTAATGATGGGCAGAGACAACATTATCCTATGCTAGTATTATGGGCATCAAGACAGATTTGAACCTCGTCGGCGACGATTACCAATGGCTTGGCAGTCTGTTTTATTTCGGTTAGTCCACCACACACTACCAACATGATATATGGTACACTGGACTGACACAATAAAGGCTACCTGGCATGGGAATACCCGACCAACCGGCTCCTCCAGAGACTTCCACTGGGAAAGTACTCTGCCGCTTGCATTATAATCTGGGGAGCGATCCTATGCTGCTTTGCCGCAGTAAATAACTTCTCTGGCGCTATTGCTATCCGGTAAATAGCCTCTTCGAAGCATGTTTCACTTCACTTACTGATCACCTCTAGATTTTTTCTAGGTGTTTTTGAGGCGTCTGTCACCCCCGGTTTTGCTTTGCTGACCTCTCAGGTGAGTGCCACAACCATCCGGCTGAGCCAACTTTCAGATCTCTTACGCATAAACAGTGGTATACCAAAGCAGAGCAAGGCAGTCGAGTCAACATCTGGTTCAGCTTCAACGGATGGGGTCAGATCTTTGGTGGCTTGGTTGCGTATGGTATTGCCGTTGGGACCGACCGCCATGGCTCTTCCATTGAGCCTTGGAAAATTATTTTCCTCGTGACTGGCCTTTTGACTGTTTGTCTGGGACTGATATTCCTCTGGGTCGTTCCAGACAATCAGCTCAACGCTAGATGGCTCAAGAAGGAAGACCGTGTCCTTGCCCTTGCGCGTGTGCGTGTCAATCAGCAAGGAATCGGAAACAAGCATTTCAAGATTCACCAAGTGAAGGAAGCTTTGTTAGACCCTATGACATGGGCCTTTTTTTTCTATGCCCTCATCGCTGATATCCCGAACGGCGGCATTACGAACTTCTTCAGCCAATTGGTTCGTTTGCCCTTACTCCTAACTCAAACTGCCATGTACTGACCAGTCCGGCTGCCATAGATCACTAGCTTCGGATACACGGAAGAACAGAGTCTTATCTACGGTGTTCCCGCCGGTGCCATCGAAGTCATCTCCCTGCTCGGAAGCGGCTTTCTCGGGCAATATACAAACCAACGGCTACTCTGCAGCACGGGCGGCCTCATAGCTTCCATTATCGGCATGATACTCGTTGTTGCACTCCCTCTTACGAATAATGTTGGTCGGTTATTAGGCTACTACATGACGCTGGCAAGCGCCACGCCGTTTGTGGCACTGCTCGCCATGATTTCGTCTAACGTAGCTGGCTACACGAAGAAGACGACTGTTGCGGCGATCTACCTCATTGGATACTGTGCAGGAAACATTATCGGTATGCTTTTATTCCAGTTCGTATTGATGGAACATCACAACTGACGGACATATAATCAAGGCCCCCAAGTCTTCCGTCCCCAAGACGCACCCCGCTATGTTCCTGCAGAAATTACCATCATCGTCTGCTGGGGCGTCTGTCTGTTCATTCTCGCGTTCATCTGGTGGTGGTACCGTGTACAGAACGAGAAGAAGGCCCGTGTCCGTGCAAGCCCGGGCTACGCGCCAATGGAGAACCAAGAGTAAGTCAATGCATTCCTGATATTGTGGAATATCTATCTAACCATATACCAGATGGATGGATCTTACTGATTGGGAGAACCACGAACTTGTCTATGTTTTGTGAGAATAGCTGAATTCCTTTCGCCCAAGGCCTGGTGCCTGTTAATGCCATATTTGATGATCACAATGTTTTTTGGTGATGATGTATTCCCCCTTAGTCAAGTACATAGTATCTGAAGATATATCACATAACCCGGTGGTTGACATGTCCTGCCAATTCTCATGTCTTATTTTCCTACTAAGGTCAATAGTAATATTGTCCCCCCTTAACACGCCAGTACTCCATCGATGCAACCGTAGAGGGGACAAAGAGGGTTTCCGTAACTCATCCGATCAGTCAAAGCGAGACTGCGGGGGATGCAGCGCAGTGGGTCAACATCCAAACCCACAGGCCCACCACCACCGATCGCTACCCTGGAGGAATCAAAGCCATAACTACTTCGTGACCAATTCATTAAATCGAATGACCATTAAGAAAATCATCCGCTGTTGACGCACCATCCACTCTGCTGAGAATTGTTATGAAATCGATGTTAGTTCATAGTTAGTGCACTGTGAGGGGAGATACCATCCTGTCGGCGATATTTCTGGAGCCGATGCGGGGATACTAGTAGTAGCTAAGCCGAAACATCGATATCTCTGATACCAGCACATTCGGCAAACAACCATGATGTTATCCCTTGCTGACACACAAGTCAGGCAATCTCCGATCGTTATCATCATACTTTGTAGGCTGGCTCCGCTCAGAAATCATGGGCTCTTTCTAAGGGGCTTTTTCTCTGTGTGATATCGAAAGGTGTTTCCAAGATCCGAATTCAAGTCCATCTATTTAATGCTAGAGAGAATTTCACTAATGCGCATAGGCAGCTAGTATGGGACTTTCTGGATCATATCTACTATGCTGAACTTGACTGAACGTACTAGGTAAGCTTCCATTTGTATGCCTGGCACATCATCATGTTAATACCGTCTTCGAGCAAACAGCTATCTTTTCTGCTTCAACTACATTGCCAAAATGGGCTTCGAGCGTCCGGCCATGAATTATTTCTCGCTAAATCCAATGCTGGTTGCAGGTCTTGTGAGCCAAGCTGATACATTGTTGGGTTCGGTTGTGCTCCTGTTGACAACATGATGGTGTCTCGCCTTCGGGCTCTGATGTAGTGGTCAAGGATGTGATCTTGACCACATGAATGGGTGCTCGAAAGGAAGAACTAAACCCCGACGGTAAGCATTTTTCTTGGAAGTGTGCAAGGCAAGTAGGACCCTGCTCCGAATCCCCGACGGCACAATAGTAACAAGGAAAAGAAACGAAGGAAAAACAATCAATAATGATAGTATTTCAAAAATGATTAACGGCAGTGGTTGGCACTCCAATTGCTAGGCTACCAATTCATACGTGGACAGAACCTTCGTCGATCCCACCATCTTCTTGGTATAAGTCAACTCTCTACGCAAAGGCCTTTTGCCATAGTACTTTTGGAAGTAGAACTTCTAAAAAGACGGCCGCCCGTCAGGCATATTTAGTCGGAGCTCATTGAATTCTTATGGTTGGTGCGACACCACATATGCTTTCAGTGATCATGACTATCTTCTGAGTAGTGGTGGTAGAGGGTGAGTGGATCCATATAGATTCGAAGAATAGCAGCGTACTCGATACTATTCGCCATGCGTGAAGTATCATCCTCACAGCGCACAGATCTATCATCCTTCAATCAGGCCGCCCAACGATAGTCTTTACCTATGATGAATACGATGAATATGTGGCTTCCAAGTCATTCATCGTGAGATTACATTTCAGTCTGTTATTGGATACTGATTGTGATTGAAGGTGCATACATGAACTGTGAGACACTGTCCTAGCAGATCTAATACTAAAACTAGTACTCCATGGACGAACTGCTCCCGCTCGCTCCCCCTTCTTTGCTTTTTCTTTCGATAATTCCCAAACTCCGATGTAACAACGGCCCCAGTCATGGTCAAAGAGCGTGACTACATGCCTAAGATTGGCAGTGTTTTGATAGATTTCAGTGGCTGGCAGAGATAGATCGCCTTCACAACATATGCACCTACTTAGATTTGTGCTAACTAATGCAAAGCCCCCTCTTCCGTTACAATCACCAACGAACTACGAGGAGGGGTAGGATAGTACTATCACATTGCAGAAAAAGTGGCGGCGCTGAAACCGTTCACGCGGATATCTGTATCGGTGGCAGTTACCGCCTACTGGTATCAGTGCTCAGATTTGCCCAGGTTAACTTGTCCACAGTATGAATATAGATATGCTCGTCAATACTACTTGGTTTTGACTGTTGATCTCAGAGCATCCAAGTAGTTGGGACAAACTTGATCATCTCCTTTCACGAAATCTCTTTGTCTTGACTTTCAAAGTTCATTCAATTGACATTTGAATCAATCAAAGCAACGCAGCATGGAGATAGGCCTTTTCGGACCCAACCTTTACTGCGTTGAAAGTGGAGACGAAACACAGAAGCAGGTGGTGTCCAGTATCTTGGCGATTCCTGGACTCCGAGAATCCTGGACCCCAACTGTTGGGCCCCAGCTGATTCATCCAGAAAACCCGATAGGATGCTACGACACGCACATGAGATCAGTTATAAAGGAAGAAGGTTTGGCATGGACGCGCATCCTGAAGGACTTTTCCAACATTGTTCGTCCTGTCAAGGCGCCTCCACGCGCTGGCCTGATTCCACGCGGAAGAGTCCACCTGCGATCCATAGCTGAGGCGTACGATGTCTCAGACACTCCGGTTTGGCATGCAATTGCTGAGGTGATATATGGATACTCCTGGTGCCTAGTCGATAATAATGTCTTTTGCAAGGACTGCTTGCTGGAAACTGGCACATGCGCCATCTTAGCCTCGTTTCCCGATTATTATCACTTCTGCCAGGATATGCACCCTGTGCTTGAAAGGTCTGCCAAGCGCTTGATAGAATATATCGCTCATGTTGATCGTTGCCATCCCCATGGTGGAGAACATCACAGGCTGATGGATGCCTGGTTGGCAACCGCACAGTCTACCTATCTTGACATTCTTCACCCGAAGGCAGAGAAAATGAAAGGGCCAGAAGACGAACTGCAAAGCATCCGTTATCGACTGATTAACTCTGCTGCTCGGCCTCTGACTCTGCAAGCAAGACTAGAGCAAGGCTCTCTGATAGGAGATGACATTACTATCGATGCTGTCGCCATTGCAAAGATATACATGCATGATGCATGCGATTACCGGCATGACAACGCGGCCAATGAGTTTTACAATATCATTACAGTCGTCAGTTCTCATCGTGGTGTGCCGGCGAACAACATATTCCGCCGATTTTGCATTGATGTGTGGGCTTGGGCTGTTGATAATGAAGCAGACTGGGCAATTTACATTGCTGGCCGTGTCCTGGCTTGGCAGGTCTACATGGAGCGGTATAGGACCCCAATACTCTTTGACAACTTGGTACACCACGATGCGAACAATCAGCCCACGGACGATCCTTACGGCGACCCTTTCCTGAACAGTATGAACCCGCTACCGCCCAGCTCTCATCCGCACGACTTTGACCTCCGCAACCGGTGTCGCAACAAAGATAGGTATGACGAACTTTTGCGCAACTGTTTGGCTCATTTTGAGACCTGTCCTGGTTGTCATGAGTATGATAAGAAGACCTCCTGGGCAGATCGCGTGCCGCTCCTTGGTAAAGCATATGAGACGAAGTACACCGACTGCAGCTGCCTGAACATCATAAGCACGTACATGATACTTGCTTGCATGGACCCGGTTTGGTGGGCTATAGATTATGCTGCTGAATATACTGGCCCAGAGGAAAAATGGTCGCCGTTGCTTTGCTGAAAGGGTGACTCGATGCGAGGATTGGTGGCTACGGACATGGTCAAAATGTCCGTCTGAATGGCTAGTAGTGTTCGGCTCGAGATAGTGTATTCTTGATTTCCCAAATTTCATCATCAGTTACTATCACTCGATTTTATTCATAACCAGTAGTGATTGGTAGGAAGAGGGAAAGAGTTTGCATGGTTTGGTGGTAGTCTTTCCTGTTTTGTTCCGCATTGACCTTCCCTTGCAGCCTGGTAGTCTCTTCCACTTCATCCTATTGGAAGGCGATAATATTCTTCAGCCCGTGAGGGATGCCAACATGCCGTTGATCCTCTACGCAATACAACTCTCACTTGACTTTCCGTGCAGTGCGTGGGATATATATTCACAGACCTAACCTAAAATCCTGAATGGCTGATACTGATGAGCTAAAGTCTGACTAGGGCGCTATGTGTCTTCGACTTCCGAATCCCCCAAAGCGTTATCCTCTTGTCACTCAGCTTTCTGTTGTATCCAATCTATTTCAACAGCAAGAATCGCCACGCCCTCTATCGATTGCTGCAGGCTTCCTAATTGGGATGATCCCACGGCTGTCCACGTCTTTGCCTTCCTCTTCTGTTCTGCTTGATGCTTTGTTAGCTCGCTTTGACAACCACACTTGGACGCACTTCGATATCGTTTGACCCCGTTTCTACGCCTATCTGGCTCTATCACTACATCGGCTATGAACGCGTTGAGCAAAAGCCTGCTGAATGATGCAGATCAGCCCAATAGGTGTGACATATCGGTTAGAGACATCTTCACTCGTGGAGAAGATATTGCGTCAAGATATGACCTGGCACGAGGTGCATTCACAGCTGAATATTGCAAAATAACGTGATCCTTGCGCAATGCCTTGAGAAAGGGATGCTGGTCAGCTGAGAAAGATAGATCGGCGAAGAAACCTGTAACACAGCAGCTTTCCAAATGGTCCATCATCGAGTCAGAAATCCGCGTTATTCTCTATTTAAAACCCCATTTCCCTCCCTCTCCAGCACCCTTGATTGATTCTACCGCGCGCATCCTGCTGACCATCTGAACAATTTGCAATTCTCGCATATCATTCGCATTCAGAAGAAATAATGACTACGTCTGCAGCTGAGGAATATGCCTTCGACAGGAGCTGGCTTGACAACGTCCGGTATGGCTCAAGACCTATCAATCCCAAAGGATTATCGCTATATACACCCATTCTCATACCATATAGTATCAATGCCATGCATCAGTTGGTAGGACAAGTCTACCAAGGTTACATACACCCACATATTTGCACAGCGAACCCGGAAATGAGAATCGCTGATGTTGGGACCGGCACCGGGTAAGTCCGTCAAGAACACAAAACAACCAGCCACATGCACTATACTCAGCCAGCTAACAAACTTCCAGTATCTGGCTCACAGACCTAGCCAGTAAACTACCAAAATCCGTTCGTTTGGATGGTCTCGATGTTTCGCTCGATGCTGCCCCCCTCCGCGAATGGCTCCCACCAAACGTGACCCTTCACTACTGGGACATCAAATCCCCTGTCCCCGACCACCTAGTCGGTGCGTACGATCTAGTCAATGTACGATTCTTTACCATTGTCCTTCGGAACTCTGAGATCAAGGATGCTCTGAATAATCTATCCCGACTGCTTAGTTCGTACTGCCCCCAATACCCAGCAACTTACCTTGACCTCTCATTTAACCTAAAGCGATGGAACAGAACCAGGCGGCTACCTACAATGGACCGACGCAGATATGTCTTCAATCCGACCGGTTAAGATTCGACCTGATATAAGCGACGAACCGCTGAAGCGGTTTGAGGCCGTCCTTCGAGGGAACGACGAAAGGTTCTACACTTCTTGGGTACCCGACCTGGGGACTCGCTTCCAAGAAGCAAAGCTCATCGACGTCGATGTTGACCGCAGGGACCCTCCACATTATATCGCACAATCCCTGTTCGAGTGTGCAATCGTGGCCCTTGAAGTCTCCACCAGGAACAAAGATATTGACGAGCAGAAAGTTCAAGAAATAAGGGCAATCTCCCGAGACGCAGCCAAGGCTTCCAGAGAGGGTTCTTTTATCCAGTATACATATTATAGAGTCATTGGACGGAAGCCCACGAGTGCAGAACTATAGAGACAGTTCTCCTGATGTATTAAACAATTTTATTCTTCTCCTCCTCAGCCATCTGTAGGCTACTCCTCCACAAAATCGCCTCTCTACCAGAATGTACGTACACTATCTACTTCTCTTACTTACAAAGAATCTCGACCACGATTGAATCAATTCTCTTTATCGTGATTTACTTCCACACCCCTTAACCACATATACTCTTCATCAACTACTCCAGTACCACCCAAGTAAATTTGTTCCGACCCAACCAGTACTTGCAAAGAAGCCAGATATATCCCTGTCCTCATCCTGCGACCGGGCCAATTCCCTACCTCCTACATATCCAATCTACACAGATTTATTTCAAACGTCTAATACATTCCTTTCTATTTTATGCGCCCAGTCCGCTTCATTCCTCGTACCCTTCCAATGTGGACATGCTGCTTTCAATCAGATAACTTCAAGAACTTCTCAATGGGACGGTACGTTAGGAACTTTTCCATCCTGTTGACATCATACAATACAATGTAGAATCAATACACATCCTTTCTTGTTCTTTCTCGGTACGAGAAGGCTACCGTTTTTGCTTCTGTCATTTATAGTTAGTCTATCTCGCTCATTGAGTTATCTCCCCGTGACCTTTTTTCACTAGGCGAGTGTATGCCGGTGTGAGAGATATTTTGTGGATACTGTGAATGTTATGGCGAAGTCGGGTGTTTACGACGTGGTTGTAGCCGAGTAGGTCGCTTTGGCTCTCCTTTTGGGACTATGGTCGGGTTGGAATGATACTGTTTTCGCTCCCAAGTTGTCTGGGGATGTTGCTGACGGGAGCTCTTACCCATTAACTAAACCCATCAAGTCAGAATGTGTACTCGTAGAAGTCGCTCTGAAGCAAATGAAGCCACAAACTAGAAGCCAAGCGACCAGCAAATGAAGGCTTTCATGCTACTCTTCTGAACTCGACGATCAGCCAACCAACGTTCCGTTTGCTTTACATAGTTACTACGCGTCCAGTTATTGCACATAATATGGCTTAATTCAGTGATGGTCTATCTTGAAAGTGTACTAGATAGCTTCTCTGAACTGATAACTTTCCATTGCAGTGTGTGTCCCAGGAAACAATCTAGTGCTCAGTCAGTCACACTGGTCTCCTAGAAATAATCCACTGGTGGCAGTTTACCTACCAAACGATGGGTGATCATACTCCACCACAACAGCCTAACCGGCCCGTGCTTCGTTGCAAGGTTATGCGAAAAGATCAATCAGTCAGTTATGCTTTCAACCCTTCACCCTATCATCAGACATTACTTACACACCCCCTCCCCCGTGTCCGATGTCCCAGGCCCGTCCCAGCCGCCCAACCGAGGCCTGGCTCACTGCAGTGGTGAACCTGTAGAAGTCAGTCATGCAACTGGACAGCCATGAGTGGGTAACCTACTGTATAGTGGATGTTGAATCCGATGCCCAGGCCCGTCCCAACCGCCCATCCGAGGCCTGGTTCTTCGAAGCGTGCTGCAGATGGTGTAGTCTGTCAGCTCTTTTCCCAACACCAAGCCACGATATAACAACGACTTACACAACCCAAAGCCCCCCTCCCCGTGTGCGATGACCCAGGCCCGTCCCTGCCACCCAACCAGGGCCTAGTCCACCGCAGTGGTGAACCCTACAGATGTCAGTCATACATACTATCAAGAAACCACTGATGACTTGGAAGACTTGCAGTATGAAGGATGTTGGATCCTATGTCCCAGGCCCGTCCCAACCGCCCAGCCTAGGCCTGGTCCACTGCAGTGGTGAACCCTGTAGAGAGTCAGTCAGCCACACATTATAAGGAAGAGATGATTCGGAAAGCTTACTATGTTGCTAAAGTTAGTATGACCCAGGCCCGTCCCGTCCACCCAGCCGAGGCCCGGTTCACTGCAGTGGTGAACTGTAGAGGTTAGTATGTCCCAGGCCCGTCCCATCCACCCATCCGAGGCCTGGTCCACTGCAGTGGTGAACCTGTAAACAGTCAACCACAAGTTTATCCAGGATAATGAGCTAGAAGACTTACTGTGCTGTTGTGGTTAGTCGGTATCCCAAGCCCTTCCCATCCACCCAACCAGGGCATGGTGTTTTGTCGGGTAACTCTCTACAGTCAGTCGATAATGCAGTCTTGCCCCAACACTGCGAATCTAGCAACTTCACTTCCATAATACCAACCCCCCTCCCCTTCCGTGTCCGATGTCCCAGGCCCGTCCCTGCCACCCACCAAGGCCTGGTTCACCACTGCAGTGAACCCTGTAAAAAGTGAGCTACACCTTCAGCTAGAGGGCCGTGTGTTGAATGACTTACTTTGCTGTTAAAGTTAGTAGATCCCAGGCCCGTCCCTTCCACCCAACCAGGGCCTGGTTCACCACTGCAGTGAACCTGGATAAAGTCAGCCACAACTTAGTCCAAGAGCCATTAACTACTGTAAGTCTCACTGTGTTGTATGTGGCGAGTTGTTGTCCCAAGCCCGTCCCAGCCACCCATCCAGGGCCTGAGGTTCACCACTGCAGTGAACTCTGTACGTGGTTAGTGACAAACTCAAACAAACAAATAGTCAATGAAAAGACTCACTGTATGATGGATGTTGAATCCGATAACCCAAGCCCGTCCCTGCCACCCATCCAAGGCTTGGTTTGTTGCGAAGTCATATGAAGGCGGAGCCAGTTAGCCCTATCTTTTCGCGAGTCTCGCAGTTAAACACTTACATGCCTCCAACCCCCACCCCTGTGTCCGATGTCCCAGGCCCGTCCCAGCCACCCAACCGAGGCCTGGCTCACCACTGCAGTGAACCCTGTATACAGTTAGCCACACATACAATATAGACGGCTGTGAATAGGAAGACTTACTGTGTGGTGGATGTTGAATCCGATAGCCCAAGCCCGACCCTGCCACCCAACCAAGGCTTGGGGCCATGCAAAAGTAGAGGTAGTTAGTCCTAATCTGTAAGTCACTCATATGACTTAAACCCCCATCCCCGTGTCCGATGTCCCAGGCCCATCCCAACCGCCCAACCGAGGCCTGGTCCACCACTGCAGTGAGCCTGTAGAAATTGTAGTTAGCCACACATGCGATCAGGGCAGTCGGACATCGAAGGACTCACTATTTGATAGATGTTGAATCCGATATCCCAAGCCCGACCCTACCACCCAACCAAGGCTTGGGTTGTTGGAGTGGTAAAACCTGAATAGTCAGCCAATTACGATCAGTGAGATGGGAATGGAAATACTTGCCAGTGCTGTGTTGTCGAAGTCTACAACTACGTTCCAAGCCCGTCCCTGCCACCCAGCCAGGACCTGGTTCGCTCCACCATGAAGGTAAAGGCAGTCAGTCCTTATTACCATATAAAAGCCGAAGATCGAGTTACTTACTTGATCCAAACCCTCCACCCCCCGTGTCCGATGTCCCAGGCCCGTCCCAACCACCCAACCGAGGCCTGGTCCGCTGCAGCGAACCCTACCAAGAGTCAAACACACTACAAGTAAAACGATGAGAAGTGAAAGGCTTTACTCACAATGTGATGGATGTTGAATCCGATGTCCCAGGCCCTTCCCAACCGCCCAACCGAGGCCTGGTTCACTGTGTGAACCCTGCTAAATGTCAGAAACTATGAAATAGAGAACTGAAAAAGGAGACTAACTGTGTGTTGGATGTTGAATCCGGTGATCCAGCCTGTGCCAGCCAGCTAACCAAAGCAGGGCCTGGTTCGCTGGAGGCTGCAGAAAGTCAGCCACAATACTATTCAGGAGCCATAAATGGGAATACTTACACTTAGTTCTGGGTCACCTATGTCTACTACAGCGGCCCAGCCCATGCCTAAAAGCCAACCAGGCTTGACACGCTGGAGGCTGTTGAAGTCAGCCACACTACTGTCCGTGAGCGATGAATGAGAGGACTTACCCCAGTGCCGGGTCACCGAAGTGACCCAACCCGTCCCTACCAACCAACCGCGCCTTGGTTCGCTCAAGGCTGTAGAGGGTCAGTCACACTGCTATCTGTGAGCCATAAATGGGAAGACTTACATCTAGTACTGAGCCGATGTCTACGTGCTACGACCCAAGCCCATCCCTGCCACCCAACCAGGGCCTGGTTTGTTGTTGAGGTCTGTAGTAGACACGGAGTCAGTCATTTATCCAGATAAGTCAGAGTCATGTTCAGGAACACGAGTACTTGCCGTGTCGTAAAAGTCGAAAATACAATGGCGACTTATGACCTTCGAGGCCCGACCCATTCACCCAACCGATGTTGGATGAAGCTTTTCAAGAAGACTGTACAAAGTCCGTCATGCCCAGATGTGGCAGCTGGTATGACACTGCTTTGTGTCCGATGTCGACAGCTAAATTGCGTCGAATAGCCCAGGCCCGTCCCTGCCACCCAACCAGGGCCTGGCTTGTTGCTGAAGCCTGCAGAATATTAGACATGCACGTGCAAGGAGAGCTGTGGTTGGAACACTTACTGTAAGCCCCTGTGTTGAAACCGAGCAGGTATATATAATATGGTCTTCCAGGCCCATCCCATCCACCCATCCATGAGGCCAGAAGTGTTGTCGCGCCTGTGAAGAGTCAGTAAGCGGGTAGGCAAGTCAGGGAATACTCAGTAGTTACTGTGTTGTATGTGGCGAGTTGTTGTCCCAGGCCCGACCCATCCACCCAACCATGGGGCCAGAGAAGTTGTCGCGCTTATTGGAAGTCAGCAAAAAAGCGAAGTTCAGCTCAAGAGTACTCACTGTGTCGTATATAGGAGTAAGTATATATAATAGGGTCTTCCAGGCCCGTCCCATCCACCCAACCATGAGGCCAGACCCGTATGAGTCCTAGACGAAGTCAATACTAACTATGTAAAACAAATCAGAGAATACTCACTATGTTGTGTTGTCGAGTTGTGCTCTGTTGTCCCAGGCCCGTCCCTTCCACCCTACCGTGGGCCAGAAGTGTTGTCGCGCCTATGATGAGTCAGTAAAACAGGATTTCAAGTCAGGGAACACTCACTGTGTTGGGTTAGAAAGTAAGTATATATAACCCAGGCCCGTCCCTGCCACCCTACCTTGGGCCGGGTATGTTGTCGCGCCTACAATGATGAGTCAGTAAGATAAAATGTGAACTCGGATGTACTCACTGTGTTGTGTTAGGAAGTAAGTATATATATAACCCAGGCCCGTCCCTGCCACCCTACCTTGGGGCCAGGTATGTTGATGAGCCTGTGCAAGATTAGTAAATCAAAAGTCATTGTGGAAGCCAACTAGGATGTAGTCACTGTGCTGTTAGATCGCAGGTGCGTATCATAATATAAGGTCTTCCAGGCCCAGCCCATCCACCCAACCATGAGGCCAGACCCGTTATGAGTCCTGTGCGGGTCAGTAAATCGGCAGTCAAGTCAGGAGTACTTACTGTGTTGTGTGTGGCGTGTTGTTGTCCCAGGCCCGTCCCATCCGCCCAACCGAGGCCTGTCGCGTGTGGGTGTTCTGTACCGGTCAGCCAGTATGATCAAAAGCTAGTCAGAAGTACTCACTGGTCTACAATATATGATAAGTCAGTGTCGATACCCTGGCCCATCCCATCCGCCCAACCTAGGCCAGTCGCGTTTGGGTGTTCTGTGCCAGTCAGCCAGTATGATCAGAAGCTCATCAGGGAAGTACTCACAGGTCTACTGTGTATAGTTGAGTGTCGCTACCCTGGCCCATCCCAGCCACCCAACCTAGGCCAGTCGCGTGTGGGTGTTCTGCACAAGTCAATCATCTTCAGTAGAAAACTGGGGATACTCACTGGTCTACTGTGTCTAGTCGTGTGTCGAGATGTCCCAGGCCCGTCCCAGCCACCCAACCTAGGCCAGTCGCGTGTGGGTGTTCTATAAATGTCAGCCACTATCAGTAGAAAACTGGGGATACTCACTGGTCTACTGTGTCTAGTCGTGTGTCGAGATGTCCCAGGCCCGTCCCGTCCACCCAACCTAGGCCAGTCGAGTTTGGGTGTGCTATCGAAGAGTCAGCTATTTTTGTCAACAGCTCATTTGTGTACTTACTGTTAGTTGCTGTGCAGTGGGTGTCCCAGGCCCGTCCCATCCACCCAACCAAGGCCAGTGGTGTCAGAGTGTCCTATACCAAAGTCAGTCACGCTCAAAAACAGAAAGGCAAGACACATAGGGAATAGATGAGTGGGTAGATGACAGGAGATAGCTGGGATTGCCTACTAGAAGATCTGGAAGGTTAGTTGGTAAGTAAAGGCAGGCTATGTGGCAGATAGATGTCAGTAGATGGCAGAAATGGCAAGAAATAGCAGGAAATGGCAGATAGATGGCAGATAGATGTCAAGAGATGGCAGGTAGATGGAAAGTAGATGATAGTAGATGGCAGGAGATGGAGATAGATGATAGGAGATGACAGAAGATGGCAGTAAATAGCAGGAGATGGCAGATAGATGTCAAGAGATGGCAGATAGATGAAAGTAGATGTCAAGAGATAGTAGGGAGATGGCAAGTAGATGAAAGTAGATGGCAGATAGATGGCAAGAGATGGAAGAGAAGATGAGAAGGAGAAGTGGAAGAGAAAGGCAAAGAGATGGCAGAAATATGTGGGAGAAGAAGTTTCCAGCCTCCCTGGGGGGAAAGGGAAGAGTTTTAAATACCAGTGAATCTTTTCCTTACGACATGGTGAATAAACCAGCTTGATGTGACTCTTTCACAGTTCTGAGTTCATCGTAGCAATCCCATGAAAATCTCAGCAGATTTGGACGTAAATGTAGTATCGTTAGCATCAGGATTCTGCAGTATGAGGGAGTTAGGTACTAACAATAGGTCCTATAGCTCTGCAATCCATAGGAAACGTTTGTAGATGAGTCCAAAACGAAATTATATGGACAGAAGGCTCTGTCTGTATATCCTCATAGATTGTCAAGGTTGCAGCTTGGTTCTCCTTGGGTTGTGTCAGGGTGTGAATGGGAAGAAGCTGGAGTGAAGTGGGCGATGAAGAGTCCGTCTACTATGGGAGTAACACCTGCCGTATCGGGCAACGAGACGCGACTACCTCGTCCTGTCACTTCACGAGCAGAACAGCCTCGATACCGAAATAAAGAACTACAGTACAGTATAATACAACAAGACGAGTGTTACTGCTCCATCCCCACGATGAAAGTAGGAGAATTCACGTTTTGTAGGGAAGTGTTTACTCTCGAGGTATAGTCGCTATAGTTCTGTTGAATGAATTCCATGGTACTACAGCCGAGAGCCAAGGATTTCACCAGGTCTGGTCTAAGTATAGAATTGAGGCTCCTGCTCAGTGAAGTATACTACTTCCAGCTGGGTATTACTAGTAACATAGCTATATGATTCTCCCTGGTCTATCGTCGGCCAAGTTCCCAAAGATTAATGAGTCTCTAGCAAGCGAGTCTGTAGCAGCTTAAGACCTTTGCGACTACACAAGAAGAAGTAACAGATCCTACATGATAACAGCTGCTGAAATATATATCTGGTTATCCTGAAGCAAACGGAAGCTGTAGACGGCACCTGCGAATTTGAGGTAATATTTCGGGCGTATCAAAACGAGCCTTGAACAGCGGAGGTGTATTCCGGCTGCCATCACCATTAAATAAGGGACTTTCCGACAGGTTGCTATAGAGAGAACTGGGCCAAAAATACTAGAAGGGGCAGCCGTTCGTATATTGTACTATACCAGTACTGTAGCACGGCTTCCTGAGTCTACGAGACATACTGACGTTATAGTAGGAATGCAATTCCACTTGATTATGTCGATATTTCTATATCGGGCTACTTACAAATTATATACTACTAATACTACAGACCACTAAGCGGCAGCCAGCCTTCCGAGACTAGAAAGCAGATGATAGTATAATAGTAATATCTTAAAGGAACGGAATTAGTAGACTTAGTTCTACAAGACTACTCATGCCATCTACCACGTAGAAATAATACCAGCACCCATGCTGGCAACCCACGTGCTATCTGTCTCAAGACCTCTCGACACGTTCTATGCATGCAGACCAACAGAGACATATAGAGAAAGGCCGAGCGTAGGGCATGCCAAGACGTCACTAGTGGTGGAAAGCCAAGATCGACGGTGGCCACGCAGGTTCGGGGATTATCTGGCGGGGGGGGGGGGGGGGGGTTTCTCGAAGATTGTCAATCGATTGGCTAGTATTGCATCCCCGGGTTAGTAGTGTACTTGAGTATGGAGAAGACACAGCGGGAATGGTACGTATCTCGCCCGAGCGACCAAAGCAGTACACTTCTGGATCTCACGAAAGATGAAGCTCACAGGATTGCGGTGTGGTGGAAGTCATTGGAGGACAATGGCGGTAAGTGAAACTGGGCTTGGCAATGCTGGCACATGAGATAGCGCCGATGTGGTTTGGGAAGCAGGAAGTTTTAAGTTTGTGTGCCATACGGGCGCTTGGAAGGTTCAGTCAGGCTACAAGCTAAGTACAAGAGAGAGGATACCCAAAATTGCGGCAGAACTTGGATGCAGTGTCGATAGTATGTAGTAATCTGCAGGCAGCGTCATGGTGGGGTTTCACAACAGGGAATGTTGCTGTTTGAGATAGCGCTTAACTGGATTCTTGGAGGAGGGGAGGATGTCTGGGGAGAATTTAAGACACACACACACACACTCCCACTTACACATTGAGAAAACTAATTTCTGTAGAATTTATCAAAACGAGTATACTATCTTCAATTACGGCAAAATTCTACCAAGCAGACAGACTATTCCATAAATTATTGTTGAATCCATCTGCGCCTGCAATAACTGGCGGTGAAAAAAGCAGAAGCCGTGGAATGAGCGACGGGCGGGGCGCCGAACCACAGATTGGCTGGCAGGAGACACTAACTCGATAGTAGTAGTAAACAATCCAATGGATTCGCTTCACACACCCCAGTGGACGCAGTCTGGATCCCCAATGGACCCCCCTCTTTGCAAGCAAGGGAAGTCAGTACTTTACTGCCAGTCGGCCAGTCTGCCAGGGCAATCAATTAATGGTGCAATCATCCAGCTCACTAACATTCACACCATCGCGTGGAAGGATTTAGCTGGAGGGGCTAAACGGGGACACTAGAATATTTCCACGGGTGGGAAACTCCAAAAGGTACCTTGATCCCCCCCCCTTGGTGGCTGATGGTGCTGATTGGAGACCATCACTCCATTGACATGCAGGGACATGATCCAACTATTATCCGTTAGTCTTATTGGTGAACTGCAAGGGGGAGGAAATCTCACCAGCAGCAGCACTCACACACACAACACGGGGGTGGTGATGACATGCCCCGCTGCAAAGAAGAGAGAGCAAGAAAGAAAAACAAAAACACTCAACAAATAAAAGAACAAAAGATGATAGATCGCGGTCTTTTGGACCTATCACACTGAATCTTCAATAGTATTAACTTTCGGGCGAGAGACCATGCGGGGAGAGTCTTTTTTCTTTCTTTGGGCCTTCAAAGCAAAGTGTTTCGATTTCTCATTATGCTTCGTGCTTGACTAGTTAGGGACGGGTTTGCTGAACTGGCGTCAACCCCGATTCTACACAGGGATACGATCATCTGGCAGTTCCACATCCTTAAACTAAAAGTAGCCCGTGTTTAAAGACTGAACCGGTTTGGTCTGCCGCCGGGGAGGGTCTTGCAGGCGCTTGCAAAGAAACTAAAGTCGAAGTTGGCATGCCTGGTCGGTGAACCTTTAGTTCATCTTTACTGTCGTCTAGTTCTACTTATAATAAGACCTGTCTCGAACCCACCCCTAGTTAACTACGTATCTATCTATTCATCCCTTCCTTGCCAGGTGCATTCATTCATCCCGCAAATCCTCCCCCTTTGTCTTTCATTTTCTTGGAGCAACACAACCCCTACACTGTACATCGTGACTATCCCTAAAACGTGCTGCTGATCCTCGTGTTCTGAAGATCGACTGACCCTCATCATTTGTCCCTTGCCAGCAGCCAACTACTTCCCCCCCTCTCCTCCCCTCTCAGAACCCTAATCTTATCGGGTTCTCTCTGTCCTCCTGACATACTCCCATAGAACACACCCTTTTCCTCCTTTCGTTTTTCATTTACTCTCTACCCCATCTTTATTTCGATCGCTTTTCTCCTATTTCTGTTTATAGCACAAGCATGTTCACCTGCTGTTGATCGCGCATTCTTCACTGCTCTCCTGACTGGTGCCATTTGGCAGGGAGCATGTGAATCCGGCTGGACCGCGTCATTCTTCAGTCAAACACATCCCCATCCCGCTACGGTTCTCGGCCCTGGAAGTGCAGGCCAGGCACAGGCACAAATAACGATGGCGGCCACGTTCACATGCCAGCGCCCCGATCTTCCTGGTGGCTCTTCCAACCATCGTCCTCTTTCTCCTACGATCTCTTCCCCACCGCTCAGCCCAGCGCCAGAGCATACATCTACACCTACATCCTATTTGATGACAAAAGTCCCTTCTCTCTCCATCGTCTCACCCGGTGTGAACGACCCTGATACAAAAGAAGTATACGCCACTACCCTCGAAGTCACCGATATCACCGTGGGGGCAGGCAGTCCGCCCATCGTATCAATCCCAGTAGTTGATGAGGAGCTCTCCGACGGTATGGAGACCACCACCACGACTACTCCATCACCTTCCACAAAAACAAATAGTCGACGAACCTCCAAACGCAAAAGAACAACCTCCCCTCCATCACCAACAACAACCAAATCTCCCTCACAGCTTCACTCCTCGCGACGCTCCAGCCCTCACAGCCAACACAGCAGCTCTCTCCACTCACACCGCCGCTCCGCAACCACAGCTTCTATAACACCGATATCCGATCGAACAGCCCGGCGTGAAGACCTGATAGCTCTGCATCGTGAATCATGCCGTCTATTCCAAGACGACGGCCTCTCTACATCTAAACCTAGCCCACGAGCATCAGCATCAACATCAGCATCTCGACCCCCATCTTCCAGCACATCACGCACTCCTCCACGACCTCTGCGCTCTGCATCCAACGCCAGTTCCCCACCCACACTGCGAACACCACTCTCCATCTCAACCTACCAAGACCAAAGCAACCAAAACGACTCCCCACGGGCTCCAATCCGCGCAGCTACTTTCTCAGCCTACGAGCCAGCATGCACGTCACCCGTGCAACCCACAGTCACAGTAATCGACTGGACATCGCCCTCCACACGGAGGCGCGAATACGAAAAGATCGACCGCGCCAGCAGTGGAGTACGTGGTTTCTGGCGCCGAGTAGCGCCGCGATGGTGTCAATTCGGCGACCACCGCACGCCGTTCTTCGAAGAGGGCAAGGACGGGAAGGGTAACTACGAGGGGAGTGTACGGCGGTTCCGCATGGATTTGCCAGAAGAGTGCGAGAGTAAGCGGGGAGGGACCCTTCCGAAGGGTTTCAAATTAAGCCGGAAGACGGTGATTCATCGAATGGGAGGGAGAGTGAAGACAGCTTAACCATTTCCTGGAGTATAGCATTAGTTGTTGTTATCAGTCCCAGCGTGCTTTATTTCTGGCGGATGATTGATTGCATTTGATACCCAGCTAGATGCATTCTTTATAATGATATACGAATCATACAGACACCAGTATGCATATGCCATGCATCTATCCAATACACAAGTAAATAACAGTAGCATAGCGTATAGTATATACCACAAGTAAACTTTTCCATAAACTCCAAACAAACCCCAAATCACACAACACACACAGATTGAAATAACATGAAATAGATAAGAGGTATCACAACATATCAAAATCATCCAAATTATCCCGATATTGCATAATACTCCTCTTAATCTTGGAAGAGTCCACCCAAGTCACGAAATCCTCCAAATTCCTCGTAACAAGGTACGCCGGATCCGTAACGACCTCTGTCCCGACGCGAACATGGCCTTGTTCAATGAAGGTGACAGCCTGAAGCAGATTAGCATAACCGTTACACTCCCAAAAAAAACAAAAAACAATAGAATGAACTGAATGAAAGAGAGAGAAAAACATACAGTCTTAACATTCTCCACCATCCCACTCCTCGTCATCCACACCGCAAGTCTCCTCCGACAAAACGCACTAACCGTAACCTCCCTCTCAACCCTCGAAAGCCCCGCCCCCTGTTCGCGACTCTGCTTCAAAATGCCCATACGGAACAACTTATCCAGCACCTCGGACTCCAACTTCTTGCGGACGGGATCGCTCTCAGGGTCCAGTTCGGATAGCTTGTGGGCTAGTTGGCGTAGGGATCCGCATAGCTGGTTGTATTTGCGGTAGTCGAGGGGGTCTTGCAGGTGGTAGCGTGTGCGGATTTGTGATTCGCGGTGGTTGTTGTCGGATTTGTAGGTGTGGAAGTCGACTTTGCGGAGGAGTTTTTTCTCGTGGTGTTTGAGGGCGCGGGGCATTTTGGACTATTGGGATCCCGGAGGGATGAGGTGGGTGTGGTTTGGGGGTGAAGGTGAAGGTGGTGATGGTTTGGCTGATAAGAAAATTTTGGGGATAGGATTATTGGAGAGGTGGATTTGTCGGGTAGAATGGGTGTGCTTGAAGTGACGGGAAGTTGTGGTTGGTTGGTTATGGGGCGGTGTGGAGGGCGGTGTACCTTCTGGTTATGTGGTGTGGTATCACGGGTGGTGATGGGTGGTATACTACTTACTTATTTACTGATTGGACACTTTGTACCAATATAATGCTGGAACGCATATAGATGGATGTGAAGTTTTTCTGTAGTGCATATTTTATGATGATGTTATGTTTCACTTGGTCTGCAAGGTAGTGTGTTAGTTTGGTCATCTCGGTACAATGTGAATCAGAGTCGCGGACAAGATGATACATTTCAGCCTTGATTTTGATAGACTATCGTCTATACCATATTTCTATTTTGATTTCTATTTATATTTCTATAATACATACTCCTTATATACTATTCTAGTGTCATTGTTACAAAATATAAGTCTGGCTGCTCTTCATCCGACACAGCAGCACTACGGGAGAAATGTCTTCAATCCCATCGCAATCCGCTTAATCTGCTTCGCATAGAATGAACTCTCCAATCCAGCTCCAATCCCCTTCAGTGGAAGCAACCGTGCAAGGAACGGCATCGGAACCCGGTTCAGCACCAACTGGGCTTCCTCATCCGAAACGCTCTCATCCATCAGGACCAATGGCAGTTTCGGCTCAATCGCAGCCGGGCGTCCAATTCCCACCACGTCGCACGCATTCTGCTGCAAAGCAGACATGGCGCCAGCACGGGTCCGGAAACCGCCAGTCAGCATAAGCACAAGGTCCGGGAAGCGCTTGCGAGTTTCGGTGGCAAACTCAATGAAGAACGCCTCGCGGGCAACAGTGCTCGGGCGTTTCTCGGGTCCCATCATCTAAGACGCGTCAGTCCGAACATGAGTATGAACAAATAACATGTGCTGACCGTTGGGTTCTCGTAGCTGCCGCCGCTGACTTCCAAAAAGTCAATGCCTGCTTCGATGAGAAGTCCGATCTGGGTCATCGTGTCTTCAAACGTCGAGGAGCTGTGGTCAGCAGAGTTGAGCTTAATGCCGATAGCAAAAGTCGGCGGCACCACCTCGCGGATCGCGTGGATCATGTCGACCACAAATTTGGCTCTCTTCTCTGCCGTCCCGCCATATGCATCAGTGCGTTTATTGGACTTTTCAGTTAGCGTGGCTCATCCGGATACTGGGCGTAACTACCTTGGCGTTCAAGAATTGGTCTGTTCATTAGCTTGCGACCAGTGGTGAGAACAGTATTTACATACCAATCAGGTAACCATGTGCTCCATGCAGCTCGATTCCGGAGAATCCGCTGTCGGCCATCAGGCGGGCCGTGTCCACAAACTGGCGAGTGACCCGGTCGATATCAACCTGAGTCATTTCTCGGGGTGGGGAAAAAACGAGCCAGGTGAGCAGACGCTGCACCAAGCCGTCACCCATATCTAGAGGAATCGCACTAGGTGCAATTGACGGAGCCCAGACGCCTCTGCGGCCTGCAGCCCGGGGCGTTTGTCGGCCAGGATGGCAGGCCTGTACGATACACGGAGTGCCACGCTGCTGGCACGTCTTGGCGTACTGGCTCCAGCGTGCAACTAGAGCCTCGTTGCCTTCTTGTCCTGTGTACTCAGCATGCAAGGCAGGATCCCAAGGGTTTCCGAGATGGTCCACATCCACCTGGACATTTCCTAATGATCATATTGCAGTTAGAAGCGCACTATGTGTGTCGACAGTGGGTCGCTACCTGTAAGGAGAGCCCCCCAACCTCCTTGTCCCCATTGGTCGTATGCCTTCAGCAACGTTGGAGTTGGCTCATTGCCTGAGCCGGCCAGTGCCTCGGCCATCGCAGCCTGGGCGAGTCAGACAAATCATGATTAAGCTTCCGGGAAATTGAGCCACCCACCTTGGCTAGGCGGTTCGGAAAGACCAGCCCGCAGGGAAGCTTAACGGGATCATGCAAGGACGCCATAGTGTGTGTGTGCCGGTGACAGAAAAGGAAAAGCTGAATGCGACCCTGAAAAACTGGGGGTTGCCCGTGATAAGTCACCGGCGGCCCGAAAAAGCAGCCGAGGCCAGAATCCACGTGGAGGTGTTCATGGCGCAATGTGGGGATAGCCGTTAGTATCGAGCCAAGATTTCTGCAGATGCTTATCGGTTCCGGCAGCTAGCACAACAATAAGCATGTGAAGAGCATCATCTAGTTACTTGTACCTAATTAGAGTAAGCAAAAACCATCAGTGAGTTGGAGCCGGTATGGGTCCTAATTACTACCAAGATAGACGAGCCGACTCCAATGATTGCCGAGTCGGTCCGTGCTTATAGGAGAGATCATATGTCAGGATGAAACAGCAACTATCCCCTCATTCTGACCCCAGTTCTGAGCTAATCAGAAAGCATAAGCCAGTCAAGCTTAATGAGGGACGAAATCCGCAGTTGGGGTAAAATCGGAGGAAAATGGTCCCCCGCGTGAAACCTCGGACGACCGGATATCCACAGTCAAGATAGCCGGACATCGGGATGCAGCCTCCCGACCACTCGGACAATGCAGGGTAATCCGTCCGTGGAACCACCTTTTGACAGCTGTGACAGGGCCTTTTCGAGTCAAATCGAGCTATAGCTTCACTCCCGGCCAATTACCGACTTCAGCCCAGTGGAACCGATCGCACGGGGAGATGACGGCGGAATCCATCGCCGATCTGACAGGGCCTGCACAAGCTGCAGCTCTATTGCTTAGCTTTGCAGAAGCTTATCTGTACGGTCCGTGATGGAGAAGACCCTGCGTCTGGGGTGAGACTGTCATCTTATCCCCACTTCACATGTCAGTGACCCAGGTTGCCTAGGTTGATGCATCCCGGTCATATATCACGGTCTGGCCGCGGGACAGCCTGGCCATCGCTCGTGTGGATGTGGCTAGACTCTGTCTGTATAGAATAGATTAAATTGAAATGATCATCAGCAACAGCAGGACAACTAACATGTGAAGCAGTGTGGTGGTGACTCACTGGCAGAGGTCGTTGTCCTTCCCCGCATGAAGATGAATCCCCTCATCACATGACGCTGACTGCAGGTGCAGGGGTATCCATGCCCGATTCGGAAACGAAAACCTCGCGCAAAAGGATGCTAACGGGTCGATTCGGAATCATGGGGTAGACAGATACCCACTGTAATAACTACAAGGGTGATGTCGGAAGATGAAAGAAACTACGAGTTCCGTCTAGCGGGATTCTACGAAAAGGCAAAACTATAGCCCGAAAAAAGATCTGATCATTGAATCATCCGTTTTATCCATCACAAGACCAGCATCTATGCTAACCAAAACTAGTCCGACATCGGTGGTATCCGACAACAGAATCGTCATTAAGAGGGGTCAGAATCCGTGAAAGAATGGGGGTATACAAAAGCGCATCCTTCCAAGCAGGATCCGGGAAACAAAAAGCGCTCGAAAACAGAACAAAGCCAGTATTTTAAGAATGACATGCCAGAAAGCTAAGCAAAGAGACCAAGCTCACAGCTTAGAGTTCTTCTCGGCCTCCTCGGTCAGAGCCTCCAGGGAGAAGGCGCTGGGTCCCAGGCTAGCCAGGATAGAGCCAACCTCCCGCTCCAAGGCCAAGACCTCGGTGTGAGGGTTGTACATGCGGGCCTTGATCCAGGCATCCAGGTTCTCGTCGCTCATGCTGCGCAGGGCGGTTTCGCGGTCGACCTTGGCCTCCTGTGCCGCCCGGATGACGTTGCGGGCCACAACGACAGAGACCTCACGGATGCGGGTCAAGTCGGGGTAGAGAAGGCCACGCTCAATCTCCTCGGGAAGGAGAGCCTTGGAGAGGGCCTCACCCGAGGCGTAGATCATGCTGTCGGTGACCTTGACCGACTTGGAGAGAATGGTACCCAGACCAATACCAGGGAAGACATACATGTTGTTGCCCTGGCCGGGGTAGTAGGTGCGGGTCTCGCCAGCAGTGTTGGTGTAGGACATGGGGGGGAAGGGAGAACCAGAGGCAAACAGCACGCGGCCATCAGTGTTGGTGACGGCGCTCTCGTAGTCACATTCGGACTTGTGAGAGGGGTTGGACAGAGGGAAGACAATGGGGGCAGTGTTCCACTCAGCCAT